AAACAGTGGTCCTACAATGGATTCCTGGTTGCTGTGGCATTAAAGGCAATGAGTATGCTGACACACTTGCTGAGAAGGGGACAACGATTTTGTAATGCATAGACCGGCCGATGTATTTCCACACAATGGAGGCCTGAATCAGAAGCGACTTCCAGACCTCAAGGTGCAACGAACTTAAAGCTCGAACAACGAAACAGTGGACAGTTGGCACTCTCCGATATAACCGACTGGCCAGGAATCGAAGCCGTTGCCGACTGGCCAAGAATCGAAGCCGTTGCTGAGTTTAACTTTGGCCAAGAATCGAAGCCGTTGCTGAGTTTAGACTACGTACCGGACGGATTGCCTGGCAAAACACCTTCAAAGATTGGGAGTATACACTCAACCATCAAAACACCTTCACAGATTGAGAGTATACACTCAACCCACATACTCTATGTAACCTACAGGAGGAAATGGAGAAGTCCCACCTGTCTATGTGACCTACAGGAGGAAACGGAGAAGACCCACCATATGTAACCTACATGAGGAAATGGAGAAGACCCATCTGATCTGTAACCTACAGGAGGAAATGGAGAAGACCCACCTGATGTGAAACCTACAGGAGGAAATGGAGAAGACCCATCTGATTCTTAATCTAAGAGAGTATACACTCAACCCACATGCCCTCTGTGTAACCTACATCAAAACACCTTCACAGATTGAGAGTATACACTCAACCCACATATACTCTATGTAACCTACAGGAGGAAATGGAGAAGTCCCACCTGTCTATGTGACCTACAGGAGGAAACGGAGAAGACCCACCATATGTAACCTACATGAGGAAATGGAGAAGACCCATCTGATCAGAAGCAAGAAGACAGCTAATGTCTGCTATTAATTAACTGCTATATATGTACCCCCCACCCATGGGCTGTGTTAATAACCGCTATAAATGTACCCCCCCCCCCTCTTGGGGAAGCTGAAGTCAAAGATTAAGGCTATAAATGTACCCCCCCCCCCACCCTTGGGGGAAGATGAAGTCAAAGTTTTTCCGCTATTGATTAACTGCTATAAATGTACCCACCCTTCCTTGGGGGAAGCTGAAGTCAAAGTTAAATTGCGAATGATACCCCTCCAATGTACCCCCCACCCTTGGGGAAGCTGAAGTCAAAATTCGGAAAACCAGAGATACTGGGAAGCAAGAAGACAGCTAATGAATTGCTACATTAACTGCTATATATGTATCCCCCACCCTTGGGGGAAGCATAAATGTACCCACCCTTGGGGGAAGCTGAAGTCAAAGTTTCGCTAATGATAAAAATATCAAAGCCTGCCATTTGAAATAAAAAATGTACCCCCCCCCTTCTTGGGGGAAGCTGAAGTCAAAGATTTAGACCCCCCCACCCTTGGGGGAAGCTGAAGTCAAAGTTTAAGGCACCCCCCACCCTTGGGGGAAGCTGAAGTCAAAGTTTAAGGGATAATGATAAATATCATAAAGCCTGCCATTTGAAATTAATAAATTAATGTCTATCAACGATTCTATCCTCTTATTGATCAATCAGTTGTCATGAGATTTCGTATTGCAATTTAAAAAGTTTGAAATCTCTCACAGTCAGGCTAGATGATTAAATTCTTTTTGTCCAAAACTCGTTTGGATAATCATATTACTTCCGGTAGATTAAAGGAATATATCAATAGAGTTGCTATCAGCAAGCAATAGTAAGCTGGCCGGAACAGACTTTTAGCTCGATTCATTTTTTGTTCCAAATTGCGATCACTTTGAGCTAATTTTGCTCATGCAAGATATTGCTGCTACATTTATTAGATCAGTTTTACGATGATAAAAGTGTTGCAGAAATGGTAAAAATAAAAGAAATATTTCCCTTGATATGGTAGTGTACTGGGTGACTGTAATCTTCGGGTATTTAAAGTGGTTAATCTGATACGAAATGGCAATAAAATTAACAGTTAAATATTCAAAATGGATAACTTAAAGATTCCATAAAATCGGTCTTAATTTAAAAGCTGTGCTAAATGCAATGCCAACATACTTGAAAGGCTTGTAAGTAATTACAATTAAATCATTATATAATCTTAAAGTTGAATGTAACACTATTATCTTAAAATTTGACCTTTTCAGATAGACGAACAAGAATTAATTATCAGAATGGTGATGAAATAACACATTTTCTCTCGGAAACAGGGCTATTCTACAGGTTTTATGCTTATATTGTCAGCTAAGAGCCGACCAAAATATCATTTATCTTAGGGAATTAAGTTTTGAAAACAGATTGGTCAAATTCAAATTTTGCCAAGCTGGGAGATTCCATGACTCTTTGTTAAAGGTATTCTTAAATCTTTGTCTTCCATGTCCATTTTGTACACCATACACGATCTTTTTTTAAATGGAATAAATCAATACATGCTAAAAATATTGACTTGTAAATGAATAGCGTTAAGGAGTGAGAATCCTTTAACAGAGTCGGATTTGTCGAATTGCAATAATTGGTGATACTAAGGATACTTGAGAGCACTGATTAAATTCCACGAATAAGATTTAATTTTAAACCAGGAGCAAATGACGATCGTTTTAACCCCCTTTAAAAAAGCGTAGAAATAGCCACCAATCATATGATGCTGAAGGCTACTTTGATAAATGATTCAAAATCGCTTTCATTTGGCGGCTGTTTCAGGAATAAATTTCCATTTCCTAATCTCTTTGATCTAATCAAACTATTGTGATTAAAATCGGTTCTCATTAAAATAATTGCATCAGGTGTTATCCCCTTCTTTCAATTTGCATAGTGCGGTGTCACTTTTGATGTCCACAAACAACCTCTCTTTTCACTTTTAAAATAAGGGCTTTAACTTCTCTCACATATTGATTGTCGGTCCTTTGTTACAATCTTTTTCGTAGGTAGATATTTCACTTGCTAATGGATAGTGGTTTCTATTGTGCTGTTAAACGTATTACCTCTTATCATCTTGAAAATCAGAATAATGAAGGCAGGAAGAAGTGTTGTTGAATATAAACATGATTACCATATCAAATAAATTAAAGCGAGTGCCTCGCTGTTTTAGCCAGAAGTCAATTGGAAGTCACGAAATAGAAGCATTTTGCAAAAAAACTTGTTTTTATATGTCGATGGTCCCATAAGCCTTCATTGTAATTTCACACTAGTTTTCAAATAGTTATTTGACGAATTCAAAGTTGGTCTGATTAAAAAAAGGAAAAAATCGAAGAATGCGAATCAGTGACTGTTTAAAAAAAATTTTGCAAATTATGTTGGGCTTTTATCGATTTCTGCCAATCATGTTTGTCTACATTCAGGTTCTATTCAGTGTAGCTCTTATGAGCATCGCACTAAAATCTACTTAATCTGAAAGCGAAAGCATATTTATATGATCTTTGCCTTCGTGAAAGTATATTCATATTTACCTATATCAAAAAATGGATCAAAACAAATTCTTGGCAGTTTTTATTAATTTCAGCATATAGGGAGGGGGGGGGACATTTGCAGGTTATTAACAAAAAGCGTTTAATAAGGATGGAAAAGCCACCGAGTTCAAGTACCTGTGGAGACACCAAGCTGACTCAAATACCTGTGCAGTAAGTCAAAATAATAGCTTTTATATCAATGTAGTCACTTTTTACACTCTCCTATAAATATTATTTTTAGAAATTTGATAAAGTTCTTTTGGAGTAACAACATGTCTGTTTTGCCTTCTCTCCGAACTTGAATCACCTCTTAAGAGGGTAGTCTGGTCTAGAGACATGAATTTTAGGTCATTTTTGAAGTGCTGTAAGAAAAGCAAGCAATATTTTTATAATCAATTTTTTTATACATTATTTGTTTACCTTATAAGTATACAAAAAAATGAAAAATAAAAAATTTAAATTCCGTTATTTATCAACTGATGGAGTGGGGCGTCCCAAAAATATGGTGCATGACCATACCCACGATTTTAACTCTCCAAGCAATCTGAAATCAATCTACAATAATGTCGCTATGTCCGGAACTACGGAAAAGTTTTAGATATATTTTTACAAAATGGCGACTGCCTAAAGAAAAAAATAATTTTTGTACCACTTTTTTAACATTCTTCGATTTTCTAAAAATAGTAAAAATTAAAATTTGGCGATGGCCGTAGTTCCGGACATAGACAAGTCCCTAAAGAAGACTCTCTTCAAATTTCAAGTAAATCGGTTGGGCAGAATCTGAGAAAACGTGGGCATCAGATTCAAAGAAACAGTTTTGTGAAAAACGCGTTTAAAGCTTCAAGTAAAAATTTTTTCAATCTAAGCCATAAAATTATATTTTTAACTTACATTTATTCAATCTGCCATTCCTTCTGCATGTATTAATCCTTCCTCGACTTCGAAAAACTTATTTTCGGCGTCTCTGTTTTCTATTCGAGCAGTTCTGGCCTCCTTTGATGTTCGTATCTCGGAGCGGTCAATCCGAATATTGTCCATGTGCAAATCCATGTGCTTCTGGACCAATTTTCACTCTCATTATCGTCATAATCTTCAATGTCGGTATAAATCCTTCATTAAAATACACACAGCAATAAATGTTGCTATTTCAATGATCTGAGACCCGGAATGGATATGCTTTGGAGCGAAAGTCCATATCAGCGAGATTAGAGACTCATTATTATTTTGAGTTTCTGAACCCAAACATCGAATCAATAACTCTTCTGATGATAAAATTCGAAGGATTTGTCAACGACTTGACATGATGGAATGTAGCGCAGACTATTGCAACTGCTTTGTAATTCCATTTTGAACCCGAGTCCGCGTTGAGCCCTTCTTGAAAATCTTATCCCGTTCTTGAATGTAGTACACGAAACGAAGGAAGAAATTGCTGAAAAGACCGTGAAAAACTCCAAAACACAGTAGCCGTAATTATTATCTATAATTGCTTCTTCATCATTTGGTTTCCTCAATTTTGCTGCTGATGCACTCGTAAAACTGGTGTTTTCCTGTTCCGTAAATCAATTGCCGTGAAATATATATATATATGACGGAACAAAAGAGCTTTCTAAGAAAGATAGATTCAGGTAGTCAGAGAACCCATTATGTCTTTTGTTCGATTAGTTGCAGCCCAACCGATTTAGATGTCTGCTCAGCAAAATACTTATATCTCCGAAACTAATTTGAATTTTGAAAAATCCTCTCGTAGACATATTCTTGAATAGTTAAACTATGAAAATATGCAAGAAAAGATCTCGCAAATTATTTTTTCTAGACCAGAATACCCCCTTAAGTATCGATATACAAATACCCATTATTTTATTGCACCAGAACAAGATTTCCAAGCTGTGGATCACAATTTTTTATGTATTTCAAATGACAAGCGTTCCGATAATTATCATAAGCCCTATTGCTGACTTCGGGCTTCATAGAGAGGAGGGTGAGTATCAAAGTGACAAAAACTCGAGAGGGGGGACAGAATAATGATTTACAGATATAGAAGAGACAGACAGACGGACATAAAGAGGTCGAACATGACATACAATGGGGTCATGGTAGTTTGAAGTCAGAAGTCAACTCTCGGTTAATAGACTTTTTAGTCGTATGAGTATACAAAATTAGACAGTTGAGTAGTTAAAAAATATCAAACTTTAAAATATCGTAGACGCGATTGCTTTTTCTTTGAATTACAACCATATTTTACGTAAGTCAACAAATAAATCACTGATCCACAGGTTTGTGAATTATCTCGGAATAATCAATACGCGCTACCTTCCCTAAGTCAATCGCCGCGCGCTTTCAATAAACGGCAGGCACAGCTCTTAACAGTCAGACTGTTACTAAGGGCAAAAGATTCTCATTAGCTGATGTCTTATCTTTGATATCAATAATATGTACAAAATTAGCCTTAAGCGGGCTTT